ACCAAGAAAGCCGCTGTTGTGAGTTAACAAGGTGAGTGTTGACCGCTAGCGTCCTGGACTGACGACGTACTGAGCCCGGCAACTGCGTTTGCGTCAGCGCTAAGGCAGTGAGCTGGATAGATGTAATTTTGCTTCTTTTCTCGCAGTCTGCTAGTGTCGGTGACGAATGCTAAGAGCGTTAAGTAGTTTGTTTACTTTAAAATGGTTTATCCCAGCCTTGCTATGGCTTCGCTGACGGGGCTGAGCTGTTCCTCGGGCTTCACCGCGGTTTTTTACAGTTGAAATGGGGAGGGTCGGTCCATAGAATTTTCCTATTTTGTTATTATTGTTACTGTTATTGTTATAATCATCAGCAGCATCGTCGACGTCATCCTTATTTCATTGATAGTACATTAGTTTCAGTAATTTCACCATTGTCATAATTTTTATATTTTCAATGATGGGCAAATAGCAGGACCCTTTTATGTTATGGCTATTTTACATGTGCACCTCGGTAAATTTGCAAAATGCGGTGCATGCACACATACTTGCATTTATACATTTTGTAACAACACGCAGTGAGAGAGAGAGAGAGAGCGAGAGCGAGAGCATGAGCAAGAGAGGGCGAGAGCGAGAGAGAGAGAGTGAGAGCAAGAGCAAGAGAGGGCGAGAGCGAGAGCGAGAGAGGGTGAGAACAAGAGACGGCGATAGCGAGAGCGAGACCGAGAGAGGACAAGAGCGAGAGAGGGCGCGAACGAGAGAAAGAGCAAGAGAGAGAGAGACAGACAGACAGACAGAGGCAGAGGCAGAGACTGAGGCAGAGACTGAGAGAGAGACTGAGACAGAGACAGAGACGTGGGGGTGGCCGCCCCTGCCCCCTGCCCTCCTGGCGAGGGTAGGTGGGGGAGCGGCTCCGTCAGTGGGTCAGGCGGTTATTGATTCTTGTGTCCCACTTGTGGCTGGGACTCTGCGCTGCCGCCTCGTAGGGCCTCGCCGCCGCTCCCGGGGGACGCCCGTGCCGCTCCGAGGGCGCCTTCCCGGGCCAGCTGGGCGCCGAGTGGTGCCGATGGGGCGATGGATGTGGGTGGGGAATGGCACTGCCACAGAGGCACTGGCTGGCATGACTCCGCTGCCCCCGGATGCTAATAGAGAGGCAAGAGGGATCGCGTTGGGGGGGAGGGAGGAGTCCATGCGAGGGTCTGACTTCCTTTTTTTCGCTTTCGGATTTTGAAATAGGGACGGAATTGGGAGGAGAGCGAGGACACAGCAATGGGCAAGGAAATCGGATAGTCTGAAATAACATGGAACAGTAGATAGCCCCGACGAAAATAGGGAAGTAGGATAGTCTAGATTAACTGAGGTCTATTGAACTTTAAAACAGTTGGATTAGGATGGCCTCGGACGAAGTCACGTGTTGGGTCGAAGAGCTCAGTTCGGGATGGCGTTTTTGTTTACGTTATCCGAAAGCTTTGCGGCGTTTTGATGAATCCTTTTCCATTATTTTTTCAGTTAAAACGTTATTCGTTTTAAAGATGGGAGTATAATAAGGAGGCGGGAAGGAAGGAAGATAGGATGGAAGGAAAGGAGGAAAGAAAGAAAGGGAGGGAGGAAAGAGGGAAAGAAGGAAGGAAGGAAAGAAGGGAGAAAGATAGAGATAGAAAGAGAAGGGAGGGCGAGAGGGAGAGAGAGAAGGAAAAGGAATAAGAGGAAGATAAAAACAAAAGATAGAGATTGACAGAGACGGAGACTAGACACAATTAAAGACCACGAGCGAGAAAGCGGCTGCAGCAGCGCACGTAGCGAAGGACCTCGGGTGGCGACGGAGGGGCGAGGAGGCCGGCGGCGGGTGGCAGGCGGCGGGCGGCGCGGCGGATCTCGGGCTTTACGACAGCGCGGGGACCATCTCTCGCGCGGCTCGGCAGGCTTTCGGCCGCGTTACGGAATATTCCCGGCTTTACGTTCCGCGCCGAGGGGCTCCGAGGGGCTCCGGCCAAGCCATTCTCGGATCTCGGGTCGGGCTCGTTGCTTCCCTTCAAGTTGCGCTTTTCTCTCATTCTCTTTGGTTATTATCCTCTCTTTGTTCAAAGT